TGCAGATTTCTGTATCATTTTTCAAATTCTCTATTAATCACAACATTAGTTGCAAAATGCTGCTCAAACTATTCATTAAAAAAATTGATAACAAATGCATCAATTCTGAAATTTGTGAAAATAAATGAAATACTCAATTTTGTCTTTGAAAAAAATCAAAATTTAAGACTCAGTGCTAATTAAAGTTGGAAATGTCTTTTTTCCAAATACTATTTTGTTTAATGTCTGAACTCTGTCAAAATATAAACAAAGTTGATTAAGATATTCATGAAAATCTTACTATTCATTTCCATTACTTTATTTAAATTAATATTAGCAATTTTTAAAAACAAATAATTTAACTCAAATTTTCATTCAAAGTGTGGCTGTGATATTTGCTGTTACTAATATGCTTATAAAATTGTTTTTATGCAAAAAACATTAAACGTTTTTGTTGGACAAAAGTTTGATCTTCGCTTGCCTTATGTACACACTCAAATCTCAGAATTCTTTTGGTCTTTGCACTGACAAAAATTGCTTATTCTTCAAATTAGTTTGTTTTACTTTCTATTTTTAACTTTAATAATTTATTCTATTCAGTTTTAATCGCTTAACTTTGACTATATACGCTTATGGTTTAATAATTTATTTTCTAACCTTTCACTAATAATTTTTGCTAAAATAATGCGCAAATTTTTGGACATCAATTTGTGTTTTTAAATTAAAAATTAGATAAGTTGCAATAACAATTTTGATAAAGTTTTGACTTCATGATAACTGATAGAAATTATTAACTAATTGTTACTTTCATTTAACATAAAAATTTGCATAAGTTAATTCAATCTGTTTCCAGCTACAAGTGATCATCCTATGCTGATCAAAAATCATTATCTATATTTGGGTTAAGTAAAATTACAGCAGATAATCTTGTTTTTTTCATTATCTGTTGGACGATGATGAAAATGATAAATTTTAAAACTTTGACAAGCATACAGTCTTAAGATAAAATATATTTAGAGTATAGTTACAAATTAAATTTTAATAATCAAAATAGTGTTCAATCTTGAAATGTTTCAAATATTATAACTACTAATAATGAAATAAATCTTACAAAAATTCATTATTTGCTTGGTTTAATTAATTTTTTGGATGCTTTTCATGAATTGCTGTATGTGATTATATTTCTGTAATACTTACCTATGCAAGTTATTATCACTGTAAACCTTATCAGTTTTTTCCTTTTTTATCATCTTCATGTATTTTGGTCTGCTCTTTATGTTATTCAATTCAAATTCATTCAATTCATTTATTTAAGCATTTAAACCTAACCTAGTACTGAAGATGACCTGAATTGTACAAAAGTTTTAAACGCTTTATACTGATTTCACGCGAAATTCAGCAAAAAATTATAATGCATAAAATGAGTTTTTATTTACTTAATCATTTACTACTTTAATGAAATAAACAAGTCTTACGTATGTATTATCAATACAAATATTGAAAATAGAATTTATTTATTAATCTCCTCCACTTAGTCAAGCGTTTGTTTATTATACTTTTGATTTGCGATCATTCTAGTGAATATTTCAAATGATATCGCAAATTAGTGCACTATTTATAATTTATATCTGTTTAAAATGCAGCATTTATTATGAAAATGAGCTTTACACTCATTGCAGCACTAAAGTTATCCTTCTAATTTTTTTTACTGAAAAGCATACAATGTTATTATGCTTGCAAGAATATTAATACATGTTAATTTTCAAGCTGAAAATGCTCACTGAGACAAAAGGAATATATATACTTGGATTAATATACTCATTTATAAATATTACTGTAATTTAAACGTGATAATTTGTTTTTAATTAATAAATTATTACTTCACAGTTTAATTGCTTGCATTTTATTGACAGTAATGAATAACTTAAAAAGAATTGCTATTTTATAAAATTACAAGGCTGAAAATAAATCAAATTGCATGCTAAAAAGTTAATTCAAAAGTGAAAAATTATTTGTATTTCAATTTTTTAACCTAATATTTCACACTTTTCTTATTGTTTTAGTTTTCAAATTTCATTTATTACAGCGACTTTACTTGAATAAAATTGATTGGTTGAGTGAAATCATTCAAATCTTTCACTTATTTCAAATAACATAAGAAATTAGGATATTTAAAAGATTAATTTTTTGTTCTAGCAGTTTATCAAAGACTAAAAAGTTATCATTCCAAGGTAAAAGTAATAATTAATAGTATCAATAATTATTATTAATACATTTTACTAAATAATTATTGTTAATTATTATTCATTATTATTATTACATTTTACTAAACAATTACTGCAATGCACAATGATTTTGCTGTGATTACTAGTAAAATGCTAATCTTGAAAATAAGTGCAATAGTATTGTAATTGTTCTCATATTCATTTCTACTAATTATCACTTTCATCTCAAAAAAGTATATGGTATTTAATAATTTTGCACTGTTGTTTTTCATAAATTGTGCAACATTTTTCATAATTATAACTGAAATAACAAGTTTGCATAATACAGTATAACAACACTATGTACAGTATTACTTTTCAATCTTGCATATTCTGCAACTTTTGAGTTATAATTACAAATTCTGATACATGATACATTTCTGATACATGCAAACAAATTTTGATATTCTTAACATTTTGTAATTAACTTGATGATATCTAATTTGTATTGATACAGTAATTAATTAAAAAATTGCTTATTGCAATGTTTTGCAAAGGTATAAATGTTTATTGCTTCTATGAATACTACTTCACTTTCACTTTCGATAGTCAAACTTCACAATAATTGCTCGAATGAAAGTAAAAAATAAATAAAGTAATACTGTTTATTGCAAAACTTGAAAATGAATTCATTTACTTATATGGCAATGATTAATGTTTTTACTGTGTATTCACATGAAATGCTTCTGATCGAAGGATGAGAGTAGGCATATAAACAGTTATTCAATTTAAAAAAGAACGAAAGAGTACACTACTTTACTTGATAACAATACAGTACTGTAAATAAATAGTGAATACTTTTTGAGAAGAAAAGATAAAAAGTCATTTTTTACAAGTAATAATTCAGAATTCAATGAAAAAGTTTGTATTTATTTGAGAATAGTTAAAAGCCATTACTTTGAAATAGTTTAAAACTAACTTCAATGCGTACTCATTGCATTCAATTCAATTCAATTCAGTTCAGTTCAATTCAATTCAATTCAATTCAATTCAATTCAGTTCAATTCAGTTCAATTCTCTGTTTGCTCTTTAATCATTTCCTTACTTTCTTCTTCTTTCAATTTATGATTTTGTGCATTAATAGTTTGATTCATTTTCATTTACTTATTTGATTTTTTCAAAAAAAATATTTATTATTATTTTTTATGCTTGCTAATTAATCTTTTCTTTTTTTTTATTAATTTATTTATTTTAATTTTTAAATGATTAAAAGTGTGTAATCTTTTAAAAACAAAGCAGGTCTAGAATTAGTTATCTATTGTAAAGCTAGAAGTTTAAGTAATTTTGTACAAAAATTTTTTACTTTTTATAAAAAAAGATATAAATTTAAAAAGTTTTACTTTGATAAGATGAAAGTATACATTGAATTTACTTATAATAGCACAAAAGCTCACAGAAGACATTAATTTTGACTTTTTAGATAAAACAAAATTATAATTGATTGCCATCCATATATAAGTAAACGAATGAGCTCATCCAATTAATTTTAGTAATAATTTTTTATTTTGCAATAAAACTGTATTATATTGTGCTCAATTGCTTGCCTTCAAAACTTTTTCTTTTGGTTGTTATCATATGATCGACAGTAAAAATTATAATAAAAATTATTAGATAACACTGATTTAAGCATAATTTTTCTTTGCAGGAAAGTACTGATAAAATGTTGGGATATTTTAGCTCAAAGCCGCTTTATTTTGCCAATTATACGCGATATTTAATCTTAATAGTGTCAATGTTAGCACTTTCCATGTTGACAAGCAATACGTTAATTTTAAATTTTACAATCATTTGTATGTCCAATGATCAAAGCAGCAATAAATTAAACAACAGCCAAAACCGAGAAGGTAAAACTTTGCTGTGATCTGAATAATTTATCTGATTATATCTTTTGAATATTTTTATTGAAAGCAGTGAAAGTCAAAAGTAAACTCAAATATTATTAATGAAAAGTTATTTACTGGTAAATATTGATTTAAAATATGAGGTCAAAAAAGATTGAAAATATCTTTTCATCAATTCATACTTACTATATAAAATCCATATCGCTATAATTACAGTAATAATAATATTATTAGCAATAATGTTATTAATGATAATGATAATGATGATAACAATGAAGATATTAATCTTATTTCAGTTTTGTTGTTGCCATTCATTGAACATAGACAAGGCTGTTTTAGATTTAACAGCACAAGCATATTATTTCTCGAGAGTGGAAAAAGGTTTATTGTTCTCGGCAACAGCAATTGGTAACCTGATAGGTACTTTTCCAGTAATTGTACTTGAACAAAAGTTAGCCACTAGGTATGTCTTTCGGACTTTGTAAAAAAAATGGTCAAAATTGTCATCAACTTTTACTTCACGACAGTAAATATAGATAAATCATTTAAAGTTGTAAATAAATTGAAATTTGTTAGGCTTATTAAGCATCCAAAAAAGTAAGACATTGCTTTTAGAATTAAGTATTAATTAATTATTTTTAGAAACTTATTTGCATTGTTTGGAATGATATCAGCAATCTCAACTCTTCTAATCCCTTGGTCTGCTTCATTTGACTACAGCGTTCTTTTAGCTATGCGATTTATTGAAGTATGTAAACTTTCAACATTTTAATATTGTGAAATAGTAAAATTTATTTATGCACATTTGTCTAGAATTGTAAATTTTAGCAGCAATAGCAAATGCTTATTAAACGTAGCAAAGGAAGAAACTGTAAGCTTCATAACACTCATTTAATTACATAAAAGCAAATTAAGGATTATAGTTAATACAGAAATATTTTATGAGTTCTTTAAAGTTCAATAATTTCCATTTTATAATGTGCAGTTTCAACTTTGATCAAGTTTTGAAGGGATTCGCTTATGCATCAGTCTATCCGGTCATTGGCACTATTACCTCTCAGTGGTCATTACTAGCTGATAGTGGAATGTACATGTCATTACTCACATGTCACCTACAGGTCTTCCTTCAATTTTATGCAAATTTTGTCTTTAAAAAATTTTTTAAATTACAAATTACAATTTTAACATTATAAAAAATAAAAAATAAAAACCCAAATTCATAAGGGGTATTTGACTGCAAGTTATCTTACAGATTGGACCATTAATTACAATGCCTTTATCAGGAGCTTTATGTGTATCAAAGTTTGGTTGGCCAGCATCATTTTACATTCATGGAGGGCTGACTATATTAAGTGTAATACTGTTTTATGAAGTGTATCGTGATTCACCAAAAATTCACAAGTTTTTTTTTTCAATTATTTCATTTCAAAATTTACAAATATTAATCAAAAATTTTTGCAAAAACAATACTAAATCAAAAAAAATTCTTTACTGCTGTTATTCAGGTAAAGTTTGTAATTTGAAGATAACAATCACTTTTTTTATAATCTACTGACAAAACTGTGTTGCTATTTATGAACAACTGTGCTTAAGAAAAATCAACAAAGTTATATCGTTATGATAGTGATAAGCAATGCATACTTTTAGTGTTAACGTTTGATGATATCTTTTCAGTTCTAAAGTTTTGTTTTTCAAATCAAAGAGTATAAATTTTTTAGGAATGTTAGCTCCAAAGAACTGTCAAAAATTGAAAAAGGCAAAAACGTTACGTATGAAAGGAAAATGCCCAAAGTCCCATACAATGCAATGCTAAGAGATATTTCGGTTTGGGCTGTTTGGATTGCATGTATTGGTAGTACATTTGGTTTCCAAATATTTTTTCAATATGGACCTGTGTATTTAAATGAAGTAACTTTGTAATACTTACTTAATTATACAACAAAAGCAAAATTAAATTGACGATAATGAGAGGTGCAAATACTTAGGAGCTTTCAGTGCGTGACAAAAATGTCATACAACAAAAAATTCTGAATTCTTATTTTTATATTGTTAAGAATGAATACAATTTCGGTATTTAAAAAATATTAATTTATTGAAATTACTCAAATAAATGTTTAATTTATTAGTGATTTACCAAATAGCAAAGAACTACCGGTACATTTAAATATAAATTAGATTATACATCAACAATTGAGATAATTCATTTCACGTATGTCGATGAGTTGCTGTTGATATCTATTCAGGTATTACATTTCGAAGTACAAAAGACGGGTCTTGCTTCAGCATTACCAATGATATTATCAATGTTAGTGAAGATTTGCTTTGGACCATTTAGTGACCATGCTGTTTGCTGTGGACAGAAGACTCGAGTGATGTTATTCACATTTCTTTCGCAGAGTTCGTTCATTTGTTTTTTCCAATTTTTTAAATCTCTTAGTAAGTATTTATTTTTAATCATTGAATAGGACTGAAAAATTTAATTCTTTGCATATAAAATAGACTAACTTTAATGCTAAAATATTTCTGATTATTAAAGTTTTTAATTGTATAGTATTAATTGCTGATAATTTTCAGCTTTTATGGTAGTATGTTTTCTTTTTCTTGCATTAATACCTGCTGACAAGGCTTATCTTGGCCAAATTGCTTACACTACAGCTATTGCATCAAGCGGCTTGAATAGCGTAGGTGTGATCAAAAGTGGACAGCTGGTAGCTTTGTTTAATTCAATGACCAACAAAAATAATAATTGCTTTTAAAATTATTATTTTAAATACTACAAATAATACATAACTTTTTTGTTGCTATAAATTTATTAAAAATATTCTATAGTTTCAATCAGTATTACTGTATTTCAATGCTTTCTTATAATAATAGCAAAAACTGTAATTCTGACAAATATAATTCATTTGAATGCATTGAAATAACTTTGATAACCAAGAAAAGTTACGCAACTCAAAGAGTATTTTATAAATTTTCATAAGATGAAATAACTATTTAATATGACATAAAAACTAACAACATACAAATATAGAATATATAATATAGCACATTTTAATCATTTAGATAAAAAACTATCAGTATAATACAGAATAACTAAAAACACTACTAGTTAAGAATGATTTCAGGTTGCTCGTCAGCACACACATTTTGTTATGTCAGTCATATCAGTAATAAGTTGCTCAGTAATTTTAATCCTTCCACTATTGGTATCTATTCTCGCACCGGACAATACAATGCAACAATGGTACGTCAATTACAGTTAGATCAGTTGCATAGACTGATTAACTTTAATGTCATGAATAAGTTTGTTAGAAAAATAATTGTTAAATAGATGATTATAAATTTTGAGAAAAGAAATATCTCAAAAATGGTTCCAAAAGTATGACAAATAAACAATTAAAAACTTTTAAATATAATTTTTTACGATTTATAAATTCTTCCCAGCGATTTTCAATTCTTTTTTGCGATTTACAACTCTCTATTGCGATTTATAGCACTTTCTTTTGCATTAAGTGCGCACTACAAGTGTAAGAGAGTGGCAAAGCATTATGCAGTATAAATTTATTTGTACATTGTTTAATTTCAAACTACTTTCTTTGTGAAGTTGAAAATACCAAATATGATGTAATGTCAGGTAATTATTGATCTTAGCGAGTAATAAAAAATGATTTAAAAATCAGGTCAAGAATCTTTTTTGTGATTATTGGCTTGATGATCGCTTGTAATATGTTATTCTTCTTTGTTGGAAAAGCATCTGAAGCTCCTTGGACCAAAGCAAACAGTCAACAAATCTTTACTACAGATCTTTCCAACGACAATAACAACAACACATCAACTACTAATAAAACATAGCAGGACGCTGATTAATAATCTCTTCTATTATTCGATTTCAGGTAGAGATGATTGTGTTAATGTATACAACTCACTCCTCATATCATGCTTACTTAGCTGTCGTGAATATATTATTTACGTAAATATAATGTTACGTGTATAGTAGTCAATATTATGACGTAAATTATACATAATAAATGTGACAGTGATGTATCACTTGAATTTGTAAGTAATATTAAATAAATATCTGTTCATCTAAACATTTGCAAGCAGTGAAAAAGTACAATTTTCTAATTTTTTTTAAAGTTTAAATAGCGTAAATGACATCAAACAACACACTTCAGACAATAAATTAAAACTGTCAACGAAATTACGATCATTCTAATATCAGATCACATTTGAATTAATTCTGTTCCCTCTCAATTTTCAAATTTCTACAAGTAGCACAATGATCTTTTGAGTGAATTTAGTCATTACATTTCTTCAATGCAACAATACTGATAACATATGCTTTACCCATACGATACAATGTCTTACTGACAAGATCAACTGCATTGCACCTTTATTACTGTAAATATTCACACACAAGAAAATAATTAAGTATGTTTTCAGATTAAAAAAATAACTTATTTATTCAAAATTCATTTTCAAAACTTGTTAATCAATCAATCGATCAATTTTGCTTAGTAACTACTACGTCATTTAACGTTGGCAACGCACTGTAGCAGTAAGTTGATAAGCAAAATAAAAGTAAGAAAAAAAACATCCTTTGTCTTACATGGTAATATGCAACAATTAGTCTAAGACTTTCTGACCTGAGTCCATATAATTGAAAAAATGCTTGACTTCAAAATGCATCACAAGGATTTTTTTTGAATTACTGGAATGACTCAGAAGCATTGCATTGTGGAACTTATAGAAGGCCGCGTTGGATTTTGCAGCAATGTTTAGGCTTTCTTGATTACACGTAATTGTGATTGTGTTTTCTTCACTTACAATTAGAAGTACTGTGTAATCGTTATTACATTTGGTATTGTGCGTAAAATTTACTGAGTTGCAGTCAATAATTCTTTTTTGCGATTTATAGTTTTTTATTTTGCATTAAGCGTCCTTACTATAAGTGTAAGAAAGTGGCAAAGCATTATGCAATACACATTTGTCTTTTGTTTAATTTCAAATTACTTTGTTTATGTAGTTGAAAATACTAAATGTAATGTAATGTCAGGTAATTATTGATATTAGCAATTAGTGTTTGTCTTCTTATTTATGATCACGTCATAGAGAACCAGCCGATGACTAACTTCCTGTTTGAATTTTTTCGTCAACATAGAAAAATCAGCGTAGCAATGTAAGATAAAACTTACATTGTATTGCTATTGTAAAATAAATTTTTGAGGTAGTCTTGTTGTTTGGTACGGTGTTTACCGGAAAACAAATATGCCAGAAAAAGTAGCGAAAATCGTTAAGCCGGAAGGTAAGGTGCCTGATGAGCTAGAGAACCAAGTATCAAATGCTATTGCCGATTTGGAAAATAATTCTGATTTCAAAGCTGAGCTTCGTGAGCTTTTCATTGTTGGTGCAAAGGTATTAGTTCAAAATTAGTCTTAGCATAATATTATTTGAAATATTCTCTTCTAAGTTCGAGAACTATCTGTCTTTGAAAGTAATTTGGTGCAGATTAAGAACGCAGGATTTCCACGTTATCATTAGCACTTTTGTCGTACAAATGACTTATGCTAATGTGCAGTTTTCTTTTGAATTAAAAATTTTGATCTCGGTTTTTTTTTGTGGAAAGTTTTATTTACTTTTCATGTTTCAGGAAATCGATGTTCCAAATTCGAACAACAAAAAGAGTATTATTATATATGTTCCCGTGCCGCAGCTGCGACTGTTTCAAAAGATTCAGTTAGGGCTTGTGCGCGAATTAGAGAAGAAGTTTAGTGGGAAACATATCGTATTTATTGCCAGAGTAAGAATATTTTTTTGTTTTGAAAACTTCCAGTAGTTTCTAATACAGTTTAATGCAAGAAGAAATTGGATTAAGAAAATTTTTAAGATAGGGCAGAAAATTTTTGTTTCTTCTAAAAATGTTGGTTCGCAATCGCAAGCATGAAAGATACTTTAGATGATGATCAGGATTAAGTGTTTAGTGTGTAGAATTGAATTTTTTTTGGATCATTTCCGTGAATAATGTATAAAACTGGTAACGATTTGTTTTTTTAGTGAATATCGATTCCTCATGGGAAGACTTGTATTAATGTCATGATAACTATGATGTGAATGTGTCATTCGTGTTGCTTATAATCTAAAATTGCAGCGGCGTATACTGCCGAAACCAAAGCGGGGTAAGAACAGGAAACCTCAGAAGCAAAAACGTCCACGATCACGTACTTTAACAGCTGTACATGATGCGATGCTTGCTGATTTGGTTTTTCCTGCTGAAGTTGTGGGAAGAAGGATCAGGGTGAAGTTGGATGGGAAACGCATCATTAAAGTGCACCTTGACAAGACCCAACAAACTAATGTAGAACATAAGGTAAGACATTGATTCAGTGAATTTTTTCGTTTAATGAAGATTTGTATAGACCAACATGAGTTTCATTTTCTATATATATGTTTGTATTGGTATGTACTAGTATGAAAAGCAGCGGCGATATTTTTGAAAGTAATACCACTTTCGTCAGTATGTGTGGCTCTTTTTATTTAGGCGATTTTATTAATTTTTTTTTGGATGTTTTTAAAGAGTATGTCTTTTAATTCAGGTTATCTGTTAATACCGTAACTAATTTGATAATTTAAGTTTTTTTTGTAGCGATTAACGTTTTGTAGTTCGTTGATAGCAGACATACTCTTATCTAATTCTATTCCCAAAGCAGGGGTTTAAACAATGATGGATAAGTTACGAAATAATTAGTGTAGATGCACTCTTTCTATTGTTCTGCTGAGGATGACAAAAGTTCTGATGGTTAAATCAGTTTCTTATTAATAATTTGGTCATTTGTAAATGAGTCACTCCATTTTTAGTCATGCTGTTATTTACTGCTTCTGTACGCTTTTCTCTGGATCCTACTTGACATTACTTGTCCGATTAATTTTGCTTCTTCGCTTATTATGTTCATGTTTACAACATTACGTATTATAAATTCGCAAAAGTCGTGACACAAGCCTTTTTAAATTAAAAGCCTAGCGATTTATTATCAAGTTGAACTTAATATGTAATCAAGTTCTTGTGGCTTTCAATCAATTTGGAATTTCACTAATGCTATATTCAAAATAGTGTTTGTCGATACTGACTTGCTTATTAATCTAATTCTTTAGTTAATGCACGGTGGGATTAGCTAGGAAAACATGTTGTGAATAAACATAACAACAATTAAATTCTTGTCTCTAAAAGCTTTTCTCGTTATTTTATTATTTTACATTTTTAACCTTGTTTATTTATTTGACGTTAATAAATAAAACAATGATAAGAAGTATACACGTGGCAGATTCAACACTTCCCTTGTACTGAATAATACTGAATAATGTCGCCTTTTCCGTGAGCTAATTTTTTTTATATTACAGGTGGATACATTTTCGGCAGTCTATAAACATCTCACTGGAAAAGACGTTGCATTCGAATTCCCCGAACCACTGTTTTGAAAAAAATAGTATTTCGTCTATTTTTGTTATGTTTTGTTGATTAATGTATGGTTAAATTAGTGGGTACCTCTTCATTTACAAAAAAAGATGCAAAGTAACTTGGAATGATTTATTGCTGAAGAGGTTTTGTATTGTAAATGGATCACTGGTTCCTTATTTCTGATAATAATAAAGTATAGTTATGATAGAATATAGTAGACACTAATTAGAAAAACATCTATTGTTGGAGTAAGTCTTCGATTTATCGTTTATTCAGTTTGTATCTCGTTCCTGATCATCTCGGTAAGATGTGGGAAGTATCATCGTTGTCGCTTTGCATTAAATTTTTTTGCGATTTTGCCAGTGAAAATTCAGGTTTGACCTATTTCGCTCACACATTGGATGGCGTACGTTGTTCGTGAACAAGGATTGGGCATTATTTGAAGGTACTTGGAAGAGTTGATTTGGCTCTTGGAGATAAAGGTTGCTCTGAGGGATGTTAGTTGTGTGCAGAGTGCGTACAATTGAAATGTAGTGTCGAATATAATAAGTGGACAGCTCGAAAGTAGCGGGAGTAAGTCTGTAAGGAAGTGCTGAAAGCAGAGAAAACATGCGCTGGGTGCAGACAGACTTCTACATTTCTGATTACGAGTTTAATGAATACAGCATTAGTGATGCACTGAGACGTTGATATTTGGATAATTTAGGAAAAATAAAATAAAGCACTCATGCTATTAGTGAGTGTTATTTGTTATATAGAGTATATGTGAGGGTTGGTTGCATATATATATGTAAGTAAATTTCACTATTTATTTTTTTACTCTAAATTATGAGAAAGAGCGTACTAAGTTGTTTTTTGGTAGGAAATGAGGGTAGTAGGTAGGAAGGAGAAGGTGTTAAGAATGGTGGAGTATGATTAATTGATGAGATGGACTGTTGCACAAAATAGTTATCCTAAGATGTTACTTGCACAGTTTTCGTCTTCTTTCTCATATTTTTTCTCACATTGCATTTTTGATGCAAGCGATTAGTTTTATTTTAATTAATTAATGACCATTAAGTTAGCAATTATACTGCATATGTTGCAATATTTAATGCAACAATTGTTTGAATGAATTCAAAAGTAATGCAGATTTAATTAATACAATACGGGGTATTATTAGTATTTGAGACTTCATAATTAAATTTTAAAGTATTATTCAGGTTAGGAACGTGTTCTTGTTTGCTTTCAGCTTTCAAATGCTAGATTTGTTTGTATGAGTAGTCATCGCAGTACATTTTTTTCAGTTTAATTTGAGAGACTTATGACGCATACATTTATTCTATATTTGATACTTTATCATATTTTACGTGAATAATTTAATAAACTTATCTGATGCTGACTGTTCATTATGTAAGACTGATGTGCAGAAAATGTATTGTTTCATGTAATAAAAGGAGATATTTTGTATTATTTTCACTAATGGTAACATAGTAAAGCGCAAGCAGTCACAGGTACAAACTTTTGAATCATGAATAAACTTTATTAGTGACAGTGATTATTACAATTACTCTAAAGCTTCTAGATATCGTTGTTATACACAGATTTGTTGCATCACGTCATATCATGTATGTGCATAAATATGGCATCCATACATATGCATCATTATAACACAAGTAGTGTGGTACTGTTTGCAAACAGAAAAGTATTCTGAAGGGTATTTCAATTGTAAGGTTGTGTAATGAGTTAGGAATTAAATTGAGGGGGACTATTTTGTGATTCGTACATGTTGAAAGTTAAACTTCTAATAATATATTTTGTTGATGCGTGTGATGCGCGTGCATGTGAGTGAAGTAAGTAAGTACGCAAAGAATAACATTGTAGGAGAGGACGAGAAGAGAAAGCAAAAAGTATGATGTGAGGGATGGAATTGAGAAGAGTAATCCTATCTGAAGGTCGTTCTTAGATGGTAAGGAAACACGCAAACAGACGCATACACACACATGCACATGCACATACAGATACAGACAAGGACACGGAGGTTAGAGGAGAAGAAGAAATTTATTTCTTCTACGAAAGGTGTGTCTTGTCTCGTGGGAAGTGCTGTGGGAGTGATGTTGAAAAAGCGGTTGAATTTGAAATGCCTCCTGTAACTCTGTTTGCTGCTCACATTATTACTTCATGTTTTTACGTGATGTGACGTGCTCTTAATTGTTTCATGAATTGTAGCATCACATATTGCCTCATTTTATTCACTTTTTAACTCATTTAGTTTTGCTTCAGAATTTTCATTCATAGCTACTAAATATGCTATTGCTGAAAAATCTGTATTATACAAATAGTTATTGCAATAACTATTTTTTACTCTTTATGTGATCATTATGTTTATCAATGAATAGTAGCAACTTTTTATCTTTTGTCACTTGTATTGTTGCTAAATAATATCACAGTTATATTCTGATTACTATTATCATTATCATTATTATTAATGCTGCTATTAGTATTATTATTGTTATTATAGTTGTTGTAGATGTTGTTATTTTTATAAAATCTTACCTTTGTTTATTCTTTTTTCATTAAAAAATTTGATAATGAATAAAATTTGTATAATAAATTCAAATGACGTTTTCTTATTATCTTATTCCTAATTGGAATTAATAGCATACATAAATTCAAATACATACATGTAAACATATCAAAAGTTATGCTATTTTGTTTGATAATTTTATCCATATCAAATTATGCAAACAATTTTTATATTAAAATTTCAGATTTTTAATACCAAAAATTATTGCTGGATAAACATGCATAGTGCAACAAATATGAATCCATGCAGAGCATATACAGTTGAAGAATTACAAATGATTAATGATTTACGAACTGTAGTACCAGCATCAGCAAGCGTTGATGATGGCTATATTGCCAGGTGAAAATTAAACTTATTCGTCTCTGATCATACAAAAGAGTAATTAATTATTCATGAAATGTGAGTAATTATTTATGAGGTCAAAATCATTTTGCAGCAATTTGAAAAAAAAATTTTTTTTTCTCGTTTGCATGTCACAACCAATTTATTAATTCGTATAAATAAGCAAAACACGATGCAAATAACAGTATTCAAGCAAGATAAATCATTCATTTTTTGTCCTGACTAAGCAAATGACTAATCGAATCAGTCACACTAATATTGTAATCAATTAAAAATAATTAAATTATACAGTAAATTTGTTTCCATTGCATACAGTATCAGCAAGCGTAAATCACTTTTTGTATATTGCATAAAAGAAATATAGTAGTAGTAGCTGTAGATGGTAAGATTTTCTCTTTTCGTACTAATTTCTGAGGTTTCTTCTTGTTATTCACTTATTCAGCGGTCTCTTGTTTACGTTGACCTTCATTTTCTCTCTTTAATTGTAAATCCATTCATATTTCTGAAGTACAATTTTATCTCCAACATCGTATTGACCTTGTTATTTAAAAATATTGAAAAAGGAAATCAGAAAGTAATTGACAGAAAAAAGGTAGCGTAATTCTTCTACCAAACAACAACACTTTTATTATTTTGAAAAACTTTTACACTTAAATCATAAATATTTTGTGAGATTTTTCATTCAATTAAAAATTTTCACTTAATAATTTTATTAATAAAATTTGATTTTTGTTATTTCTAATTTAATTAACACTTATTTGAAATTATTATTTTTTGCAATACAATACATATTTTTAGCCGATTTTTTTTTAGCAAAAAAAGAATAAAATAATTGCAAAAAATTTTGTTTTATACGCTTTGGTGGTGACTCACAAAAAATATTTCATTAATTGCCTTATTCTAAATTACAGAAATTTATTACTCTCTGAAACAAATAAATAATGGCGGAAGATCTTCTTCATTTTTAATTTTTTTTAAAAGTATAAAACTATTTCGCATTGCACAAATTTTTTGTAATGCAAAATGTCTTCGAAAGTAAATTTTTTTCAAAAAAAAATAGAAATTTTCAAAAAAATGAAAATTTTCAAAAAAATATAAATTTTTTTATTTTTTGGAATGAAAAAATTTATATTCCTTGTTTACAAAATAGAATTTATATATTTATTTTATGAGTTTTTAATTCTGAAGCATTCACATTACTTCTGTATTTATTAATGACGGAAATATGATGCTTTTATCAAAAAAGTATAAAAATGACGTGCTTTGATCAGCTGTGTTATTTGTTTTAGTGAATAGAAAAACGATTGATAGTGAATGTTTGAATACTAAAAAATTTTCACATTTAGGAATGAAAAATTATGTTGACAAATAATTTTTAATCATTTAAATGTGACAAATAATATACTGAATTTTATTGGATTGAAGAATGAAATGAGTGAAAATGATAGGTAGGAAAAAATTTGCATTATTTATTATTGCATAACTATTTTTTAGTCCTAAAAATTTTTGATGAGATTTCATTCATTTTTATTAATTAAATAATTATATTGAGAATAATTTAAATGGGACCATTTTTTGCATTGCATTTTCAAACGTCTTAAAATTTTCATATATTTAAATGCTTTTTGTTGATGACAAAAGCGCAAATGCACTATCAATCAATGCATTTGATTTTTAGCTCAAATAATAATTAGCAGAAATTTTTTTGATTAAAAAAGACGAAAATAAAAAAAATTTTTTTTATTATTCAATATTATTAATATTTGTGTTTATATGCATAAAAATTTATAAAGTATACAAAAGTAAGGTTATGTATATTAAAGGATACAACTTTTACTACAAAATAGCTAAAAATTTTCATATAAAAAGGGCAGTTTTTGATTTCTTTTATATATAAATTTAGTTTTTTTATTTTTAATTTTCATTTTTATCAAAATTCCATTTGCAATTAGTAATTTATGATAGAAATCTAACGATAAAAAACCTTTTTTTTCCATTTTTTGCATTAAACAATTTTAAGAGATTTATTTCTATAAAATTCATAATTTTCAAGTTAAACAATTAATACTGAAAAAAGTTCTAGAAGATAGGTAGACTTTTAAAAAACACTTAAATATGAAAATTTTAAGAATTTTTTCCTTTTTCTTACATTAATTATCTTTAAAGTTAGATAATCTGATTAAAAAATCTGTGTTATCATCACTTTTTATCTTACTTTCTAAAAATTGCAAGTTGAAATTTATGAGAGTAAAAAGATGACAATTTATTGTACTAAATCTTTTTTTCTTTCTGTAAGACTTTATTCGCCTCTGTTTTATCATAAAACAGTATCTATTATTTACCAAAATAATGCATCCATAAAATTGTTGACCTTTGCCATCATTTTCATTCACCTAATTTAATTGAATTTTTTAAATTGAAGTGGTGATTTTTATTTTTTTACAGTCTTACATTACTTAAATGCCTGGAAAAAAACACCATTTTATGAGTATTGTAATAATACTGTTAAGTATAAGTGTAAATATAGCACACAAATGTGAGCTGTTGTTTTTACGGATAGTTTTTACTTTCACGAATTTTATTCATTCTAAATCTTTCGCTAATAATTAGCTTGCAAAGAAGAAAAAAACAAAATGAAAAAATCTAATCAAATAAAAAAATAAATGCTTTTAATTCATTTAATTATTTATAAGTAAACTTTGTTTTGAGAAATGTGAAGTTTCAGAAGTTGACTGCTCACAACATTATTTATTTACTGACAAAAAATAAAACGAAAGTTGAAAATTTTTGGCGAAAAAATCTGAGCAACGATTATGTGTGTGCAAGCAAAACAGTAAAATTTTGCAAAAATAAAGAAATTTGTTAGTCATTTAACATTGAATATTGCTATTTTTGCTTTCTGACAAAATGTCTAATTAAATAGTTTTCTATTTTAATATAAATAACAAAATTTTTGTGTATGTTTAAGTCTTATTACTTGTTAATAAAGTTAATAACAGTAATAGTATTGACAGCGTCTGTATCAGTCAAAGAAAAGTACAATTGTTAATAAAATTGAAGTGATTAAATTAAGTCACTTAACACAAAAACTTGTTTTGCATTAATTCTTTTGACTACGAATACCTAAAAATGTCAATTATGAGTAATGTGCATTTATACAAGCAATTATTAACAGTTTAGCTGGTTTGATTTTTTAAACAAATTTATGATAATGCCAAAATAATGAAAATTCAGTAAATTAATAACTATCTTCTCAAGCAGACTAGTTAGTATTGTATGAGATTAGCACAAAACCATGAAAATCATTATTCGATAGCAGCAGAATAATAAAAAAGTTTTAATGAATGTGAAATGGGAGCTAAAATTTTGTCTTCTGGAATAGAATGACTTGCTGATGAAAGGATAAATTAGTAAGTATTAACTGGTTTTGAGAATTGCTCGCAAAAAACTTTGACAAATATTTTTTACAAAAAATTTGATGAAAAGAAAAATTAAAAGTGAATATTAAGGTTTATTTGTGATTGTTTTTTCATGTAATTACTTTTGAATTTTTTTAGAGTGATTAATTTATTTCTTACCTTTTATAACGAGAAGTTTTTTTGCTTTCAAAATTTTGCTATCTTATTAGATTGCAAACAAAATGTTTCAACTTGAAAATTTTTTCATTTTTTTGGAAATTTCATTTAAAAAAATAATATTTAAAAAATAAAAATAAAAAATAAAATAATCAAAATTTTATGATAATATTAGGATAAGTAGTTTTCAAATTTCAAAACAATAATTACTAATAGTCTTTTTAATTTAAAAACTTGAAAAAAAAGATTGAATTTTCTGAAATATAACTATTTTAGCTTTTTTTTTTGTTTTTTTCAAAGCAAAACATTATTGTGCAAGTATAGTGACAGTTTTCAGTTCATTAATCACAACTAGCAAAGCAATATTTTCTATTGCAAAAAAAAAGTCGTTTTAGTTTGATGAATTTTGTTGTTGATGATTTTATGTTACACTTTATCTACAGATTAATTTGAAAAACATTAATAGTAGTTTCTGGTAAATTCTATGATCATACTGTGCGTATTTGAAAATCTCAAACACAATCTGTTATGATTTTTTAGAAGGCTTAACATTTAGTAATCATTCAATGAAATCAAGTTTTTTTTGCTTACGATTTTTTTTAAATCTGAAATTTCTGAAGGACTAGAAAATGGAATAGCAATGAAGTGATTCTGAATTAAAACACAATGAAATACAAATTTTATTGGGGTACAAATATAAAAATATTCAAAAATGTATGATTAAATTTTTGGTATCTTTGAAATGTTATTACGAGATCAAATTATGATCCATACTGTATACGAATATAATTATAAAACAAACAGAACATTTTGAATGTATTCATAATTTATGAATATAAGTGTAATGTAATGATAGATGGTTGCGTTCACGAGACGGACGTTTTGACGAAACTGCAGATGCACTCAAAAAAAATATGATATTCAGAAAAGCATGGGATCTCGATAACTTATTGAATTGGAAAGCACCTGAGGTATGCTTGGACACTTTTGATGTAATCTTTAGGAATGAAGGTTATAAATGATAAAAAAGGGGTAAAAGTTAGTCTTTTTAAGAATATTAGGAACCTATGTGCTATGTTAGTTTCACCAAAATTATTCGTGAAATAAAGTTTTATTTCTAATTGTTTTTACATGACATTATATTGCATCTGACTACTAAGGATGTGTAGTATCTCCATTCAAAGTAATAATAATTTACTGGTTGATACAAATGTGTTCTTATCAGGCTTTTTTTTGCTTATTTCTTTTTAGATCCTTGAAAAATATTGTGGCTATGGATATTTATCAGACAAAGATGGCTTCCCAATACTCATGTTGTTATTGGGCAATACAGATGTTGAAGGTGATACATAGCTTTTATCAATAATTAATCTAACTTATATTTGATATAAGTTTAAAAAACACTTTGGTTGCTGCATGATAGCAGAAAAGTATAAAAATTTACAGCAGTAAAGATAGATATCCTTTAATTTTCTATAATCGAAATAAATTTAATCATTATAAAATTAATTTTAATTAATTAAGGAATGCTGAAGTCTGTTCAATCTAGTGATTATATCAAATATGCTTTTTCTATAATTGAACGGGGCATGCAATTGTGCAACGCTAAAAGCGAAGAAGTCAAGTATTTAACATCACTTCAAGTTTTACCACCATATTAAGAACTTTAGTATGAAATCATTTTTCAAAATTTTTTTATACTTTGTGATTGACAGCATTTTAATGAATGAGATTTTTAATCAAACGAGCAGTCAAATTTCAATAAAAACCATAAAAAAATATAGCATTAAGAATGATTCACTCAAACATTATTACAAACAAACAAACATTTTTCTTTTAATATATAAAATTTTTATTAATGTAAAAAACTTATTAAACAAATCGATTATTACAATTTAGTAACAGAAAAATTGTTTTAATAATTAAAAAAAAATAGCATTATTATTTACCTTTTTTACAGACTGGACATGCATTCGAACAAATGACGATAGTTTTCGATTTGGATCATTTTAGTAGTGCGCATTACTCATGCAAAGCATTTGCTTCATCTTTCACCACACTGATAATGCTTTTCCAAGAGCATTACCCATTGCTACTCAAAAAAATTTTAATTATTCGAGCACCTGAAATGGCAAGACTTGCTTTCAACACTATAACCACTTTTCTGAGTGAAAGCATACAGGTAGGAGCCTGTTCAAGCCTTCTTCACCTGCAATTCTATTTGCTCTATTTGTAACAACCAATTTGGATAAAACAAGTTATGCATAATATCATTATAATACAAAGTAATTTAACGCTATAACTACTTTTCAAAGTGAAATAATGCAGTGAATAAACACGGATTCATTCATATTTCTGCAAAATGAGAATACTCAATTAGGAACTAAAATATTCCGGTCTATTCTGAGATATATAAAATTGAAATAAATATGATGCTAATTTTTGAGGAGCTAATTGAAATGCCATCCCTTGATGAGTGGGAATTAGCACTGAAGCAATACGTGGAATTAGAATCTTGGCCTGTTCATTGGGGAGGGAAACTGTGCGAAAATGGTGATCCTAAGTGTCCATCAAAAATACGGTACGGTCTTGGACCGGTTCCGGATACTTACTACGTTAAAGCTGATAGTGCAATGCCTGATTATGACCAACTTACTACTGTTTATGCAGGTGAAAAGCATCTCATCGAGGTCAAAGTAGAAGCAAACACTAGAATCAGGTAATAGAATACGTGTAGTTCCTTCGAAAAAATGTATCATAATCATCGGTATTGACAAAAAATGGATAAAAAGTATGATTGTAGCAAAATGAAAGAAAACTTGGAAAATTAGGGAGCGCAATGGAAACTGAATTATCTTTTTTACCTGAGCAATTTGATTGCAAAGAGAATGATTCTTTTCAGCTTCCCGAAATTTGCTATTTACCATTCAAGCATCCGTGAATTAATAAAGGATATCGTGAAAGCTAAACTGTTTGCCAGGAATACTTAATACGATCTATGGAATCTGTTAAAACTATTTCTTCTTTTAGCTGGCAATATATGACATCAGAAGAAGACATCGGTTTTGCTATACATTATGATCAGACGTCTAAAGCAAACAATTTAATTGAAATGGAAAAGATCTTCCCATATATTAGGCTAGAATGTTCTCAAGTACCTATATCCGGATGTATTGTATGCGAAAAAGCTGGAAGATGTAAGTTCACAGTCTTTTTCTGTGAAGAAAATAGCGTCAAACCTATCTCCTTTCTGCAGATTCTTAGCTATTTAAGAATTGCACTGAGAACTCAATTTCAATCAAGCACTTTTTGACTAATAATGGTCTGCGGACATTGGTATAAAGTGAATCAGCAGTTGAATTATTCCAGGAAGCATTATGAGAGAATTACACTTATAACTGCTTCTGATCACTAAAGCAAAAAAGAGTAATAATAGAAACAATCAAGTATCTGTTTAGCGGTTCTGTTGATACTAATTATAATAAAAATACAAAGGGATTGAATGTATACTTCGTTAGTGTTTTTATAGATATAATCGAATTTGACAACTATTATTCCTGGTTCTCAGCGAAACAATTGCGCTACAACATCGAGATCGATCAGTTGTAAATGATCAGCAATTACTAACCTTTATCAACTTATACATATCTATAAATACAAACATAATACTACATTTAACATCATATTGTGTAAATTATTCATTTCACTTATAACAATAAAAATCATGAAAAGCTTGCATAGCCTGTGTTAATCTTTACAGAAAATGTTCACAATGATGCAATTTAATTGCTCAAGAATCGAAATACTACATATACAAGTTTTAAACCCTCGTTTTACAAAGAAATCTAGACAGCACAAAAACACTCAGCACTTAGATTTCAGAAGAGTGTCAGCACCTTAGTGGAAATTGAAAGTGTTGAATATTATTTGGAACAAGAAACTTTCGTGAATGATAAATACACGGCCAACTTTATTCCGTGACTTTCTCCAGAAATAAATGAGTTGAAGCACTCCCGTTATCCTCATCTTTTATATATGGGAAAATGGAAACTTAGTTTGCATGATTCCACTACAAACTACAATTTGTTATTACGTCATACAATCGAGAATTCGCTCTTGTATACCCTTAGAGTAATAGTGTGAACAATCAAGCATACATTTAGCAATTCATTTAAACTAATTCTATTAGAGATACAAAAATGATTCAAGCCTCGCCTTGTTTCTTCAAACCAGCATTTTCATAAGCCAATGCAAGATCCTTGGGACAACTATGCATTATTCCCGGAGAATGTGAGCAAATTTCTTTGATGTGTTCATACGCATCATAAGTTCTGCAAAAAAAAGCACATAATTAATGTGAATAGCTTAAAGTAAAACAAAGTTTCATGAAAAACGTGTTTATATCATAATTTGCAATAATAATATTGAAATCAGATCAAATGAGTAAGACTTTTCAACGTAAAAAATGGAAGCGATTTCTATCCGAATACTTTTACATTCACTATCTTTTATGACTTTGAAAAAAAAACTGTTGATCTCAAGTATACTGAAATTAAACTAAACATGCCTTTAAAAACACGGACTACTGAAACTTACTTGAAAAAGTGTTCCCATTTTTTGCGACGCTCAGCTTCATGACGACGCAGTTTCAAAAAAATAGTTCCTGATATTAATACTGAAGCCACCGACCATAATGCTGTCCAACGCCATAATGGATAACGAAGGAATGGCGGTTTCCCAAACATATCTAAAATATAAACAGTGTTGAAATTATGCTTAATATCTGCTTGTGACATACTGCAAATATTACCACGTGATCACTCACTCAACAAGCCAGGAAGAAAGTATTTCATGTTTACCACGTGTACACTTGATATTTTGGCGTTTTTATACATGAAAATGCCTTTAAAGTGAATTTTGATTACTTAACATCAAAGATTTCTCTAAAAGATTCAAATGAACATTACAAACTTTAACAAGGTTAAGGGTACAACCATGTCTTTCCAAAAATAAAGAAAACACCACGAGAAATCAACTTACCCCACGCTTGCTAGCCACTGAACATTAAACAATGACAAAAACAGTAACTGGGATGCAGAGTAGCAAATTGTCTCCTAAACCGTAATGAGTCCAGTATGACTCAATGAGACTCTGTACTGAATTATCAACGAAAACGTATGAATTATATAGAGAAATGAAGATAATACGGCTGCAACGAGACAGAATGTGTAAAAAAGAGTCCCAGGGCGTGAAAAAAAAATTGTATAACACGGAAAAAAGTGTCCACAGTTATGCGTTTCGAGAGTCTGTTATCTGAATCTGATCAGTTTTATTCTATGATTTCTAGTTAACATTTACGTGTAAACGTGAAAGTAGTACAAGAAATCGAAGACAATCACAGTGATCTTATCGCTGCAATGAATGCAAATTTGTGATTGCATATTATTAAAATAATTACTAGAAAGCATAGCTGTTTTAGCGAAAGGAAGTACTCTCTCTGAATGATTGGAAAGGAAAGTTAATGCAAAGCTGAAAATGTCTCGTTCAGTTGCATATGGACAGATTTTTAGGAATTCAATGTTTTTTCCAAGAAAACTGAGGTATGGGATGAGGATTCTGATGTTTTGTCAAAGCTTGTTTGCATAATTAAATTTGAGCAAAAAAAGTTTTTACAAATTATTGGGAAGAATTGCGGTGTTTGATAGATTGTCAAACTCTCCATAAATTGTTTCCTTTTTGTTTCACAGAATTAGTCATTTAACAATCTGAAATTTTAAAAAAATAACTCTTTTAATTCGTTTCAAGCATTTTTTAAACTTATAATGAAGAAATATTCAATTAGATTATTTAGAGGATTAATTTTTCTCGTTTCAAATTACCACAAAATCTGAAATAATTTAAATGTAAGCAAATTCGTTATTAAAATCCGATCGAATTTCCTCTCACCTTTTCCTGTGTAGCTCTGTTAGAGTTTAAATTGTAATTAAAATTTGAATATTATCTATTTTTGATCTCAAACTTGCTTACATTTAAGATATTTCGAACAGCATTGTACTAGTTTTTTTCAAAAATTGAAAATAAATAAGATTGAAGTTTGAAAAAAATGAGATGATTTTTTGGCCAAAACGAACTTTAAAGTGATTTTTTTGAAAAAACTTTTGTAATAAATAATTTTACTTTCTGAACTGCTTCAAAATTTTGAATTCTGTTGGTTAATTCTTCTTATATGCAGCATACTAAAGTAATTTTCCTTTATGAGCAAATTTTGACAGAATTTACAACAAAACTGAATTAAAAGATTGATACTGCATATAAGAATTAAGGTCAAAAAATCAAAAAAGCTTCAAATATTCAAGAAAAAACTTTTCAATGTACTCGAAAAATTCAAAAAAGAAGTATCGAAAATGCTTTCAATAGCGCAACTAAAATGCTAAACTAATTTTCTGTCTTATAATGTAAACATTTTATTTCTAAGTTTACTGCTCTACTTGATCAATCAGTTTTTGGTATGAAAATGCTTTCAAAAATCTTTTCAAGTAAGTCAATTACTTCTTAATTTGTTCATTACTATGAATATGTACTGAAAATCGAAAGGTACATTACTGGAAAAAAACAAAACAAACTATAGCATTTTTGAAATGTATGCTTAAAAGCACTGAACTTTTAATAACACATTTTAAACTGATTATTTACGATTTCGAGATAACTAATTAAATTTGTTCTGCTAATTAATAAGTTTTTATAGTTTTTAATAAAATTATGTTGGTAATTTAATAATTTTTTTAGAATCTTTACAAAAACTAAAAATAGCCATATTTGTTGCCAAATCTAAATTATAATATTTTCAAACATAGAACAATTTGGTCAACAAATTGCACATCAAAAGTAACAATAAACATCTGATAATTAATAAATGCGTGGCTAAAAAAATTTGTTGGCTCAAATCCACTGCATTAGTTTATTGAAAGTCTTAATAAAATTGGCCGTATAAAAATTAGCATATGTCGTTCAATCATCTTTGTAAGCTTAACTAGCATTAGTAATCTGATAACAAATTTTGCTTGTTATTAATTATCGAAAATTGAATAAACTTATTTCATTATTGTTTGAGCAAATGTTGATATATATTTTATATATTTTACATGTAAATACTATAGAAATTTGCTTCTTCAATTTTTAATCTCAAATTTGAATACTTTTAATTATTATTTCATGAATAGCTTTTATGTCATCGAAACTTAAAATATACAAAAATTTCTACTCATTTTTTTAAAATAAAATCTCTATTGATTTTCATGGCAAATAATCGAATTTATAAGTTGATTTTTATTGCACTACTCATTACATTTAGTATTAGACAAGTGCAGTCTTTTTTGCTACATCGATACTAGGAAGCATTAGTTCAAAAAGCTTAATATATATTCTAGTTATTTTTGCTAGCTATTTAGTCAATATACATTTTTATTGTCTGATATTAATTAATCATTTTTATAATGTTAGCACACAATCCATTTCCATTATCAATCTCTCCTCACTGCTAGCAATGCTTTTTTTGATATTTATAAATTTACTTTTTTTTGATGGATTTCCTAGTACTAAATATCAAATCTTTAATCTATTTCTTTGAAAAATGAATATGAAAATATTTAATATTTAGATATATCACAAGATTTTTTTGAATATACAAGTAGATGATTTAAAATATTAATATAAAACGTGGTGTAGGATTATTTCTCACCAAATAATAATGATAATATTGTTTGAATGAATTACAGAATTTAAAAGCTATTTTAGAATATGGAATTTGTTGAATATTAATTCTTGTTATGTTGCCATCAATTATTGATGAGGAATATTAAAACTTTGATACCTTTTTCTTTTACATTCTTAAAAGCACTTTTAATCTCATTTTTCAAAAGTAACAAGTTTGTTTTCATTTTTATTTGCTAGTAAGAATCTTTAGATCAGGAATGTCTGACAATTATCCCTAGTAGAATCAAAGATTAATCTGGCACTTCAGTTTCCTAGTCAACTTTGATGATTCCACTCACGCGTAAGACTCTTCTTTAGATCAGTAATTACTAACTTGAAAAAAGATCATATTGTTAAAATTTTAGATTTAATGTTAGAACGGCTTGAAACTTACAATGAAAATTTTTGATTTTGCAAGGTTTATTTATTGGCGAAGAAAAAAAGATGCTTTTTAGAACTAAAAATTTTATCAATAGATTGGAAGCATTCAGTTAAAACTAAAGTTTAGATCAGTTGTGAATCAAAACTCGGAAGTTAATTTTGAACGATATAATTATGACTTTAAATTGTGTGCAATAAAAAGTTTAGTTTTTTGCGTTCTATAATTTTTTAGTAAAAACCTTACTTTAAAATCAGAAGTTTATCTGTTAGTGCTGTGAGAAGTTGTATTATTTTTGTTGTCTTCAAATAATATTTAGAATATATGAAATTTCATATAATTAGTTGTGGCTGAAGTAAAATTTATTAAATTTCCAGTTCTGCATATTTTGACCTACAAATATGAACATTGTTCTCACTTCCTTTTGGTATTTAAAGTAAATACGTATGAAGTGTTCAACTTGTATTTTTAATTATTGTTATTTTCTCTGTAATAGTCTGGTTTGGATAACATAATACAATCAGAAGAATATACCAATTTATTTAAAAAATATGATATCTTTCTAATTTCTATTCAAACTGCAAAGTTTTGCTTATAATTAACTATAAACTGTAAATACGTAAATAATACTTTTGTAGTCATCAAGCGTTATCTACCAGTGAAATTTTCTTCCAACAGGAAATTACGTATTTCTAACTTTAACTCATTTTCCATAAACACGTTTTGTTTCATTTTAGGGACTAAAATAGTAACTCATTTTCCATAAACACGTTTTGTTTCATTTTAGGGACTAAAATAGACTCTATTACTTTTTAAAAAAATATTTGAAAGCTAATGAAGCTACTCAGAATCTCACAAGTTTTTCTAAAATATCAATACTTATTAGTATGAAAATTTACTAAAAAGTTGCAAAAATTAGTCTCTGAGAAAAAAAACCAAAAATTAACTCAAATAGTTGAAGGCATATTTACATTAAGAATATTTGCTATTAATTTATAATAATTATAAAAATAAGTTCCTTATTTCATAATCATAATTTTAGTATTTATATAATCATCATTTAATAATAATCATAATTTTAGTACTTTACATTTCTCAGATTTGAATTATAGAGCAATAATTTTAAGTGAATATATTTGGTACACTGGCAGTATTTGAAAATTGTAGACTATAATACATGTGATAAGATATTACTTAGTTCAAAAAGTTGTCATTTTAGTAGGAGAATTAAATTTAGAGCAAACTTTCACAAAGGAAAATGGTCCTCGAACGCTCAGTTTCTCCAGTACAAATTGCTATCATTCCACAACGGAAAATGACTTATTACAAGTGCGCAGGAGGTAATACTTTGCATAAGAATACATTATGAACGAATTGTCAACATTTTCCATTTTAATATCTCTTCCGATGGCTAAAAAATTAATAACTCAGACATTCTGTTCATATAATAAATAATTTTAATAATTTTTGGAATGTTTGCTTTGTTGTTTTAAATTAGAAAAATATGTTATTAGGAAATTTTTAAGTTTTATTGCAAAAAACAAACTTATTTTGCTAAAATATCTTTTATTTCATTCAATATTTGACTTCGTTTACAAGCAAACAATTTTGTTT